TGTGTGGTGTTCACAAATCAAAAATATATTTGATAGTCTCTACAGTAGCGTTTTTTTTTCAAAACCAGTAAATAGTAAATACCGAATACATGTACCAAAAACTTTGTCAATATGCTGAAAATGAATGGAAAGTGAAAATACAATGTATTGAGGATTAAGGACATATATTTCCCTCAAAATTAATTGTGAAACCGAACCATATGTTGCATTTAATATTTCAAAAAAACGAACGATCAGTCTTGGCACAGTTCAGATGTGGAGTGCTTCCCTTATGCATTGAAACCGGTCGATATAAAAATGAACCCCTAAGTGAAAGAACGTGTGTTTTCTGTTCTAGTTCCGTTGTTGAAGACGAAAAACATTTCTTATTAGACTGTCAATTGTATAATAATGCTAGGAAAAAATATTTTGATAGTGTGTAAAAGGAGCACCCAAATAGTAATGATAATGATTATTTGTTCAAAGTTCTAAATCAAAATTACCAAATAAAGTTAGCCAAATTTGTACATACAGCATTTAACCTTAGAATGAATCTTCTGCATGTGTCAAGTTATATATCAATGATATTAATGGAAAAAGTGACTTATAGGTCCAATGGACCGGGTGCAGATTCAGTTTGACGTATTTTGTTTACAATGTATATTGAAATGTCTATAATGCACAATGTCACTATAATAAATGATTACTTACTTTTCAATATATGATACGCATGCACCTAGGGTACGAGAAATGCCACAAAATGGGGTTCAAATTCTTGCTAAATGAAAATAATTTTACCGAGAAATATTTAAAAATATGAAAATAACTACATACTCTAACTCTTGATTCCCGCCTACATTTTGCACCCATTAAATTCAATTTTAATGGCAATTTGGCCATTAAATCTTTGTTTAATACAAAGAACAGTTCTATGGTAATTCATTAATCATTTTAATTCCAGCGCCAGATAGTAAATTATCATTAATTTCAGCTCTCGAAAAAAGGGGGGTAGACGATATTTTGTAGTGAAATCGAACTTTCACGAATCACCATATTTTGAAATAGTCTTAAATATGATAAAATGTATCTCATATCTTTTCTTATGTTTTACGCAAATAAATAAAAGATATATAAATTAATGAAATACAATTATTTAGTTGTAAATAGCTTCAAAATTGGTGAAAAATCGGCATTTTTTTTTGTTTTTTGTCTATAAACATATGTCCCCCCCCCCGCGAAACACAAAAAGCTTTGGCATAAATTTGCAAAATGACAGTCCATATTACCTGTAAAAAGGAATTTTTGTTTCACGGGGGGGGGAAAGATGTTTTAAAAATATTTTCCGTTTTCCATTGATTTCTATAGTGAAAAACTCAAGTTTTACCAAAATTATAGAGTTACCTCTCTTTGGTATCGCAAAAAAGTAACGTTTTATTAAAATTCGTATAAATATCTATAAAAATTTTGAAAATCATTCGAATATGTTAACTTTTGAGAATTTACTTAGAGGTAAGCGGGAGAACAATACTATCGTTTGTGGTTCTTTGCTTATTTCCAAACAATATGATTGTTCAACAGCTATTTGATTAAAAATAAAGTGAATAAAAAATTATGTACTCATTTTATTATTTTTTTTTATATTGTTTTGTTAATCTACTTTGGCCAAAGTGAAGTCAGTTGGCTATTTCTTCAAAATTCAGCGATATGGTTCCTGAGCCTCTCTTCTTTAATAGGGTCCTTTACTAGCATTTTATTCAAGATAGCTAGCTTATCTTAAATTTTCTAAATATATTTGATGTTTAATTAAATCTACGTTATTGAGACAAAATATATCGATGTAATACTAGATATATAAATACATATTATATTTGGGTAAATATAACAAGTTTGGCTGAGGGACGTTCTACCTGACTTTTCTTTGTTCTCACTGAGTGTAGATCAATTCTTCTGGTTTTCAAAAGAAATGCAACAAAATAATGCTGTCTAATACCAAACTGTAAGTCCAGAAATTTTTCAAAGTGCATGAAGTATCTCCATGGTAAAAAATCTTGATGTACAGTCTTAAAGCACTTTTTATTTTTCTTTCAAACTGCGTTGATTTTCTCCTAAATTAAAGGCACTTCAATTTTTCTTCCAAAATGCTTTGATTTTGTTTCAATTTTAGCTCACTTTGATTTTCTTTTCAAAGCGCGTTGCCACAAGGCCAAAACTGAAAGATACCTCACTTTCACTTCCTATCTTGTACCCCTATTATTGTTATTGTGATTTACATTCAAGACACGTGGTTTAGGTTGACCTATTCAAAGGTAATAGGGTAGAACAGGTTTTACAAATAAAATTGACAGTAAACAGGAAATTTTTTTATTATGTTTCTTTTGAAGACATGTTCGGTGAAAAATATGTTTCCAAACCAATCTGAGAGAATTTCATGTATTGATTTTTAACAGAAAAGGGTGGCTAAAGGGGGGGGGGGGCTTGAAATAACAACGTCTTATCATAATTTATGGGGAAAAATAGAGCTCACTATATAAGCTAGTGACAGATACGCTGGTTTAAAAAATGTGTTATATAACCTTTGGTTGCCTATATGGCTATTGTTATCAGGTTCACAAGAGGATTTTACTACCAGCAACTGACCAATCGTTGATTGAATAGCAACGTTTACGCCAAATAAATGTACTTAAACTCTACTTCGAACACGTGGTTCAGGTCAATCTATGATCATGTCAGTTGAGTGCAAAATAAAAAAAGAAATATTCTTATGAACAAAATACAAAGATAAGAAACTATGAAAGATGTCACGGGCGTTTTTAATTTTGTTAACTAAAAAAAATGTAAAATAAAATGTAGTTTGTGTCAAGTTCAGAACATCAGCTCTTCAAGGGTACAGGTGTAAGAAAACGAGACGCATCTCCTTTGCATTTAAATGGAGAAAACATTTTTAATTAACTACTGAGTATACTCGTGTTTTAGCCAGGGAATCCACCTGACAATTGAATTCACCTAAAGTACAACAAAGCAATTAATACAGTCGCAAATCGCTTTAACAAATGAATTGTTTGCCATTGTGATCATGAATAATAATAGAATTTTTAAAAATGCTTTTCATTTACGATTGATTGATTGTATATTGTTTAACGTACCTCTCGATAATTTTTCACTCATATGGAGACATCACCGTATGCCAGCGAAGGGCTTCAAATTTTGACCTTTACTCGGCACTCAGGGCCATTGAGCAGTGAGGGATCTTTATCGTGCCAACGCTTGCCGCTGACACGGGGTTTTCATTTACGAAATGGATGGGAAAATGGTTTTTGTGCCTTTCCGATCGACATGATATTTTTCTTTATTCAAGCGTAAAATTCCTTTAGTATTCGTAGTAACCCATAATGCAATTCTCATTCAGATGATTTGTCAGTCAAAGTCATATTGGTGCCGCATTTGCTACTATGACGCCCAAAATATAGTCCCGGTTCCCATGCAAAAATATTTGTTCGAAAAGGAATTTTAATTCATAACTGCAGAAAATTGTATCATAGAGAATTCAAGTTTGAATGAATTCAGTAGAGATCGATTGAAGTAAAATCTTACAGATATTATAGGATGGTGAAAACTGAAACGCAACATAATTTTTCTGTTTACCATGTTGCCACGTGCTAATCTCTTCCTAGCCACATTCCGTGAATAATTCACCCTATCGCTAACACTCGCTAGAGCCACTACCAGAGCTACTCTGAACTCATCAGATTTTATAATTTGTAGAACACCGAAAAACAGGTTCCGAACACATTATTAGGGTGTGTATTTGGTCAATTACAACTTTTAGGGCCTTTCCGACTGGCAGAAAAACAACCTCGTATGTACTACAGTACATAGAGGCCATGACAACCCCCTTTTAACAAACTTTGAAATAAATGTTGGAAGATCACTTATCTGTAGAGTACGGAGTTTAATTTTATTGAATGTAAAGATATTACCTAAAATATACAAGAGAAGGGACTTTTAACCCATTCAATCCTATATTCAAATAAACAGGAAATGTCTAAATCTTACCCGGTAATGTTAATACATTCGAGGTAGTTTTTACACCTCGAGAAAGACCCGAGATGATGCGATTGAAGTTGGGTGTGAGGAAAATAAATAGTCACTACTATGATTACATCATAGGTATAACTCGGCACGGAGAACGAAAATTAAACTGAAGCCTGACATTTTACGCGATGGCCAACTAATTAGTCATAAAAAGGGCATAATACATGTACATACTTTTTGACGTGTTCTATTTTTCAGGAAGCATAAAGAAATGCGGCAGGAAATAAAAATTGAAGATTCTGATTCTGAAACCAGAATTTCCTTTGGACGTCCCGGTTTCTCTTTGTTCGATAAAGCATCTAGCACTGACTCTGGGTATTCCAATAAACCCCATTTCCATATTATTACTGATTCGAGTTGTTCAGACATATCAGATTTATTGGACTCTAATGAGTCTGACGATCAGTGGTTTTCATGTAGGTATTCTTAAATTTTGTCAAGCCATGTATTTTATGATACAAAATTCAAAGAAAGTTTTTGAAATTTGTTGTTTTCATGTTCTTTTTCAGTTCCAGAGATGCATTTCTCCATGCCTCCCGTTGAAAAATGGAATGTAGAAAAGAAAGCAAATAACCAGAAGAAAATCAAATCAAAAAAGTGAGATTTTGTCATGCTAGATGTATTAGATTTTACATTAAAATTATTTTACACCTTAATTCTATATTTTTAACTGTCTGTACTTAAAATTTCTATTCATCGTTTTTTGTTATAGAATATTGGAATAAAAACCACCAGAGTTATGAATAAAATCTAAATAAAAGTTAGTCAAAAGAAAAACTTCAGGTCAGACGATACGTTCCTCATATATTTGTTTTGTATATCTTCGTAATGTATGAAAATATGCAAAACTTAAATAATTGCTTCCTGATTTCTAAACGGGTTTCTAATTGTTTTTAAACATTTGAAACACTAAAAATGTGATTTTGGCAATTTTTCCCCCTAATGTCTTAGTCACATTTCCCCGCCGGTGGCCGTAGACCGGTGGTAATCGGTGGTAATCCGGGTTGTGAGCAATGCCCCAAAATCGGTCCACATCTGCTTACTAATCCTTAAAGTATCAGTCACATTATCCAGCGATGGCGTATACGATGGGCAACCGATGCGATTTTTTATCAGAATGGCGTGGTTGCCGGCCGGACATGCTAAGGCCCAGCGATGCATTGCTAATCATAAAACGATGTTCCAGGGTAATCGGCCAATGTATATTACATCGCTCATATATTGGTGAACATTGTTCGTAGTTCTGTCGACCCTGGGCTAATGTTTGGTGGAACATCGACAGATAATCGGCCGATGTCTGTTGCCCACCACTCAACCCCACGATGGCTCAGATTCAACGGATTCAACTTGACGCTGCTCGGCCATTCATTGGCCAATCCTTGAAAGATGTGTTAATGATGGGTTGCCGATGAGGAACTATGTGGGGCATCGGTAGAGACATCGTTGATTTTATACTTAAGACTTATTTTCTACCGAGGACTCCCACCGATTCGCCAAATGGCCTCAGTAACCGTCCAATTATTATAGGTGTACTTCTAGTATCTTGCACAAATGCCTGGTAAGATACAATGTACCTCATTTTTTTGTGATTAAACATGTTAAAGGAGTAATTCTAGAAAAAAATATATTATTCAGGAACGAGACGAGTCTGTCCTTAATATGCATTTTCTTGAAAAATGCTGGTTGGATCTCCTCAAATGCGTGAAAATAAATATAACATCAAAGGATATGCCTATAATGAATAAAAGAAATTGAATGAAATTGAAAAAACTGTAAATAATAATAATTATTTAAATGTCACTCGAATTTAGTTGTTAAGGATCCGATTCAAGAGTGGGCTCAAATACCTTGTTATAACGAGAATTTGTGCTCCCCGCTTAGGGAAAAAAGAAGAGCATAATCAGTTCGAGGGAGGGGTCGGATTCTCCCTGATTTTTGTATAATTATTTAATGTAAACAAGCATATTAAAGGAAATAAAAATGCCAAAATGGAAATAAAGATTTGATTGCTTAGTCTTTATTATATGTATAGAAGATTATTTTATATAGAATATTTATTACACTGTAATGATGATTTTATGAGTTTGTACAAGCCGGACGTCATAACTTTTTCAGTTCACACGCTGAATGATATCATCTAAAAAAAGTATTAAAAAAATAAATATGATCGTTCGGGGTTTGAACCCTGTTAAAGTATCAGTCATATTATCCAGCGATGGGGAATGAGATGAGAAACCGATGCGTTTTTGGTCGATCATCGGTCGATGTTCAACCAAACATTAGCCCATAGTCGAACAACCTACGAATAATGTTCACCACTGTATGAGCTATGTAATATACATCAGCCGATTACCCTGGAACATCATTTAATGATTAGCAATGCATCGCTTGTAAGTTCGGCATGCAACCACACCATTTTTATTTTTCAAAAAACCGAAACAAAACATTTGTTGCCCATCGCATACGCCATCGCTGGATAATTTGACTGATACTTTAAGGATTACCAGACCGATGAGGACCGATGCTGGGGCATCGCTCACATCACGGATTACTTCCGATTAACACTGGTCTACAGCCACCGGAAAATGTGACTATGGCATAAGTTAGCTTCACCTTTCTACCTTGTTTTATTTATTAAAGAGCATTTTCAGATCTGATTATACATATGTCACTCTTTTAAATATTTTTTTTTCAAACTCTCCATCATAGGTGTTTGAACCTATTTATATCAGAAGAAATGCTTGCTACAAGAACTAGTGTGAGAGCTGTTCGCTGACGATGTCAAGCTTCGTTATATTACTCACTAAAGTATCAGTCACATTATCCAGCGATGAGGTACATGTATACGATGAGAAACCAATGCGTTTTTTGATGAAAATGGCGTGGTTGCCGGCCAGGCACCTTTAGTGATCGGAAGGTGACTCAGGCCATTTTGCAAATCGGTGGGGTCATCGGTAGGAAATAATTCGTAGCTAAAATTCAGCGATGTCTCCAACGATGCTTCACATCGCTCCTCATCGGCAACCCATCATTAACACATCTTTCACGGATCGGCCGATGTATGGCCGAGCATCGTCCAATATCCGTTGAATCTGAGGTCATCGGGGGGTTGAGTGGTGTCCAACAGATAATGGCCGATCATCGATCGATGCTCGACCAAACATTGGCCCGTAGTCAACCGATGTTCACCAATGTATGAGCGAGATAATAAACATCGGCCGATTATCCTGGAACATCGTTTTATGATAAGCAATGCTTCGCTGGGCCTTTGAAAGTCCGGCCGGAAACCACGCTATTTTTATCATAAAAGGCATTGGTTGCCCATCGAATACCCATCGCTGAATAATGTGACTGATTCTGTAAGGACTACTAGGTCGATGTGGACCAATGTAAGGGCATCTTTAACACCACGGATTACCAACGATTACCACCGGTCTACGGCTACCGACCGGGAAATGTGACCTAGGCATAAAAGTTAAAATAAGCACAATACTATGCCTTCGTCACATTTCCTGGCCGGTGGCCGTAGACTGGTGGTAATATAATATGTAAAAAATTTGTTTGATATGTGAAATTTTATTCCATTCGATTCATTTCAAAACATGCGCCAAGAATTTCATCGGCGTAGACATCGCTGACCCAAAACGTTTCTCGTAATGGCCTCAGTCCCCGTCCGATTACTATAAGTTTCCGTCCGGCAGCCAAGCCATTTTTATTTTAAAAAAAAAACACATCGGTTTCTCATCGTATACCCCATCGCTAGATAGTGACTGATAGTTTAGAATTGATCAGACGCCATTGAACAATTTTCAACCATAACTAAATTTTTTAAGTTAATTTTTTATTGTGGGAAAATCAGCTAATCAGGTAAAGTCTTTTAATTTTCAGACAAAAAGAGAGACAACTGAAGAGGAAAATCATTCGTACAGAACACAGTGCAATTTCATTCACAGATCAATTATTAGAAGCATCCACACTTGAAGCTAAACAAATGTTCACAGGTAAATTAGATCAAGTTTCGTCAACATTTAATAGGGTATTTTAGTCTTTACATTCCTAACTTTTTAGAAATAGACAATCCCAATATTTACATTTGACTGAATCGACTTATTTGTATTCGACACTATTCAAAGGTGTTAAATGATACGGTCTTTATTAAAAAGGTATTTATAGCCCCATTCCAAACAACGTCTTGATTCGTTTAATATTTTTAAAGTCATTATTACATTTTTAAAGAGATAATTTTTTTCAAAAAATCGGTTTTTGCCCTACAGTGAAAAAAGTCGGTTAGACTTATCACAGGAATTGCAAATGTAAAGACTTTTTCTTAATGAATACAGTAAACTTTTTATACTTCATATTTCTATACTTTGTTTCTTATTGTTTTATTTTGCGACGGCCATATAAGTTGCTGGCGGGCTCAAAATATGAAGTTTCTGGCGGCCGAAAGTTATTTGTGTGGCGGCCGTCAGATCTATTTGTATCGGAGCCACTAGATCTATTTATTTGGCGGTCGCCATAAAAAAGAAAAAAAAATTCACCTGGGACCTAGCGTCATCCGATTGAGACTGTAATGTCTAAAATGTTATATTAATTATATTTTCTGCAAGAAAGACACCGAAAAATAGAATGGCTGACTGTACGGATATTGTCATTCTGGAATATTCTTAATTATCTAGTTTTAATCAGAAATGTTTATTACATGTTTATCAAGCAAGTAGCAGGTCATGATGATCGAAAAGAGCTGTATAAAATTCAGGTTCATTTTGACTCATTTGTATTTCGACCTCAGTGAAGAAGTCCATTGATTATACATAATTATGAAAAAGTTAGGACATTTTCTACTTTTCTTGAAATATTTTATTTCACGTCATTGCTATCAGATTTATATTTATCTAAACAATTCTTTTGGGGAAAAAAATACCAGTGAATGGTTCCTGTATGTATCGATCTTGGATTTTTTTTTATTTGTAGAGAATTCCTATCGAATTATCATAGTTGGTACAGTGGGATCAGGAAAAAGTAGCCTTGGAAACAGTTTATTGGGTTGTCAACATTTCAAAACAGGAATTTCAGGTTCAAGTGTAACTCGCAAATGTGAGAAGGGAGAAACTTTCAAGCATGGAAAAAATATAACCGTTGTAGATACCATAGGGTACACTTCTGAAGTTTTAAAAAAATCAAAACTTCTGAGGGCATTCGATAAAATTTCACCCGGTCCGCACGCAGTTTTAAACGTAATTCCCTTTTCTGAAAGGTTTACAAGTGAATTGTTTTCCTCGATTCAACAATTTGTGAATCTCGTCGGGAAGGAAGTATATAACTACTTGGTAATTGTCCTCACACACGAAGACCAGTTGGAAATGGAAAATCTAACAATAGATGAATTCATAAAGTCGTCACCAACGGAATTCAAAGAATTACTTAATCAGTGTGAGAATCGCATTTTTGCTATAAACAATCGTGCAACCGATGGGACAAAGCATAAAAAAGTAAAACGGCTTATCAAAATTATAGAAAAAATTAAGAGAAAAAATGCTTGTTTTGAGACATATGACGAGTTTCTGTTTTAAAGAGCCTTTCAGACATTTTTTTAAAAATAAAAATCAGCATAAACCTAGTTCCTTTTGGTTTGTGATAATAGAATTTAAAACACAGCCTGATGAACCCTACATGAATCAAAAGAACAAATAAAAAACCACAATGTTTAAAAATAAATTAAAGAACAAACAATCAGAAATTTCAACAAAGAAAATTAACCAAAAACATGTTCATAATAAATAGGTAAAAAAGAATGTCTTTGATTAATTTGCCCTGGTCCTCATCAGTAAGTATATGCAGTGTTACACTTTGTGTTGTAATTACATTGTGCGAATGTGCGAAAAATATAAAGCCAATTGGTGCAAGACACTTTTAGACAATATGCAGAGAAGCATATTGACAAGCTCAGATCATATTCCCCTTTAAACCAAGATTCTGTAGAGCAAACTATTTTTCTTTTATATGTTATCCTGTTATTTTGAATTTGTTTTACAAACTTAATTTATGGTCAGATCACTTTATCTTGAAACCTTTTGGTAGAAATTATTTTCAAATGTGCTATCATTTAGTCATTTTGTGTAGAAGATGAAATACAATTTTTATTTGATTGTTCACTATATCAGGCCTCACGAGAACCATTTTTAGCTCACCTCAACGAAGTTGGGGGGAGCTTATGTGATACCCTCGGCGTCGGCGTCGGCGTCGGTGTCGGCGTCGGCGTCGGCGTCGGCGTCCCGGGTTAAGGTTAAGTTTTTTGGAGCAGTTTTCTTTTTAAGTACTTCTATGTCCTATATTGATTAGACATGCATATAAGATGTTTCTAGTGTGTTTATTGTACCAGTCAAAAATTCAGATGCTGCAATTTCAGCAAAGGAATGACCAGGTTAATGTTTTAGTGCAGGTTAACATTTTTGGTGCAGTTTTGGGTGTAGGTCTCATTTCCGAGTAACTATAAGCCCTATGTTGACCAAACTTACATGGATGATACATCTTAGGATGCATACTACCAGCCTTACTTCGAATGCTGTATCTGACCTACATTTTCCGGTTGAGTGAACAGGTAAAAGATTTTGGTGAAGGTTTCATTTCAAAGATACTTTGAGCCCTATAATGACCAAACTTGCATGGACGGTACATCTCAGGATGTATTCTACTAGACCTGCTTCAGATGCTGAATCCGACTTACATTTTCCGGTTGAGTGAACAGGTTAAAGTTTTTGGTGCGATTTTATTTCCAAGTTACTATGAGACATATAATGACCAAACTTGCATGGATGGTACATCTTAGGATGCATATTACAAGACCTGATTCGGATGCTGAATCTGACCTACATTTTCTGGTTGAGTGAACAGGTTAAAATTTTTGGTGCAGGTTTCATTTCCAAGGTACTATGAACCCTATAACGACTAAACTTGCATGGATGGTACATCTTAGGATGCATACTACCAGCCTTGCTTCAGATGCTGAATCTGACCTACATTTTCCAGTTGAGTGAACAGGTTAAAGTTTTTGGTGAAGGTTTCATTTCAAAGATACTTTGAGCCCTATAATGACCAAACTTGCATGGATGGTACATCTTAGGATGTATTCTACTAGACTTGCTTCGGATGCTGAATCTGACCTACATTTTCTTGTTGAGTGAACAGGTTAAAGTTTTTGGTGCAGGTTTCATTTCCAAGTTACTATGAGACATATAATGACCAAACTTGCATGGATGGTACATCTTAGGATGCATATTACAAGACCTGCTTCGGATGCTGAATCTGACCTACATTTTCCGGTTGAGTAAACAGGTTAAAGTTTTTGGTGCAGGTTTCATTTCCAAGGTACTATGAACCCTATAACAACTAAACTTGCATGGATGGTACATCTTAGGATGCATACTATCAGCCTTGCTTCGGATGCTGAATCTGACCAGCATTTTCTGGATTAGTAAACAGGTTAAAGTTTATGGTGCAGGATTCATTTCCAAGTAACTTTGAGCCCTTTAATGACCAAACTTGCATGGATGGTACATCTAAGGGTGCATTCTACTAGGCTGGCTTTGGATGCTGAATCTGACCTACATTTTCTGGATTAGTGGAAAGGTTAATTTTTTTTATACAGGTTTCATTTGCAAGTAACTTTAAGCCCTATGTTGACCAAACTTGCATGGATGATACATCTTAGGATGTACACTAATGGACTTGCTTCAGATGCTGAATTCGACATACATTTTCCAGATAATAGACCTCGTAAAAGTTATGGGTGCAAGTCTATCACCAAGAAACTATAAGGCTTATATAAACCAGCTGCACAAATGATGCATCAAGGGATGAAAACTCTCAATCTTGCTTCTGATGCTGGATTTTAATTACATTTTCATGGTGAAGAACTAGTTTTAAGTTTTTATATAGGTCTATTCCAAAGTATCAAAATTGCATAAATTTTGCATTTTTGGATGTACACTTTTTGTTAATTAATTGTGTGACTTAATTTGCCTTACTTAAAGACAACACACGTTGAGGTGAGCTCTGTAATCTCTGATTACCTATGTTTAGAGACTATAAATACTATCTGAAAGAATTGGTATCAAATTAATCTACATGTAATAGGCACAAGTTTATGTTGCTAATGAGTAAAGAAAATCATAAATGTTATCAAAAGATTTTTAATATTATATTCATAACTGTTTTAAAAAAAGATGTGTCATGAGAAATAACAATACTAGTCTCTTGTACATGTATTATTAGCTCTTCTGAGCCAAAGGCTCAAAGAGCTAATACTATGGCCATTTGTGCGGTGTGCGTCGTGCGGTGTGCGTCGTGCGGTGTGCGTTACCTTTTAAGAATATGGGCCATAACTCAAGAACCCCTTGCCCAATCAGTGTCAAATTTGTCACAGGGTATCCTTGGCCCAAGGGCTACCATTTATACTAAAATAAAGGTTGGGACCCTAAAACAAGGGGAGATAATCAGGAAAACAAAACCAAAAGTACTGGTTGCTAAAAAAATCTTCTCCAGAACCACTAAGCAGATTTTCACAAAACTTACATACAAGGATCAGGATATGTTGAAGATTAAAAATTGTTCAAGGCATGACCCTGGGGCAAAGGGCGTGGTCTCAAGGTCACTTTAAAGTTGACCTAAATTAACAATTAATAAAAATGTTTATATTTTACTTACTATAAGGACTAGGATCATCAAATCTTGTAAGTTGATGCCTCTCTGGACTTCACATCATGTTAACCCAAAAGTAGGTCACGGTGACCTACTTTTTTAATTTTGCGGGCATTTGTTTTCAAAATGATTTGAAGCCATATTTTGAACACTTTAAGGCCTATGATCATCAAACTTAGTCAGTTGATGCATCTTGGGTCCTTGAACAACGTCAACTTAAAAGTAGGTCACCGTGACCTACTTTTTGAATTTTATGACTTATCCTTTTTAAAACATTTAATCCTATTATTTCAGGCACTGAAAGGGTTAGAATCATCAAATCTTGTAATTTGCTGCATCTTGGGACCTTAAAACATATTTAAGAAAAAGTAGGTCACTGTGACCTTCTTTTAGAATTTTGCAGACATTTGTTTTCAAATTGTTAAAAAGGCATATTTTGATTACCTTCAGACCTACGATCATCAAACTTGGTCAGGAGATGCATCTTGGAGATTCTGAAAAATGTCAGCCAAAATGTAGGTCACGGTGACCTACTTTCGACATTTTATGGCTATATTTAAGCATCTAAGGTATTTATTGGCTTAGAGTCATCAAACTTTGTGAGTTGATGCATCTTGGGTTTTCGGAGAGTGACGACCAAAAATTAGGTCATGGTGACCTACTTTCGACATTTTATGGCTATTATTAAGTATCTCCGGTACTTATTGGCTTAGAATCATCAAACTTTGTCAGTTGATGCATCTTGGGTTTTTGGAGAATGTCGACCACAAAGTAGGTCACAGTGACTTACTTTTGACATTTTATGGATACATTTATGTATCTCTAGTACTTATCGGTTTAGAATCATCAAACTTTGTCAGTTGATGCCTCTTGGGTTTTCGGAGAATGTCGACCAAAAAGTAGGTCATGGTGACCTACTTTTAAATATCTAAGATATTTATTGGCTTAGAATTATCAAACTTGGTCAGCAGATGCATCTTGGGACTCTAAAAAATGTCAACCAAAATGTAGGTCACAATGCCCTACTTTCAAATTTTATGGCTATATTTAAGTATTTACCGGAACTTATGGATTTAGAATCATCATACTTTGTCAGTTGATGCCTCTTGGGTTTTCAGAGAATGTTGACAACAAAGTAGGTCACAGTGACCTACTTTTGAATATCTCAGGTATTTATTGGCTTAGAATTATCAAACTTGGTCAGCAGATGCATCTTGGGACTCTGAAAAATGTCGACTAAAATGTAGGTCACGATGACCTACTTTCGACATTTTATTGTTATATTTAAGTATATTAGGTATTTATTGGCTTAGAATAATCAAACTTTGTCAGTTGATGCATTTTGGATTTTCCAAGAATGTAGACCAAAAAGTAGTCCTAATTGGCTAAGAATCATCAAACTTTGTCAGGTAATGCAACTTGGGTCTTAGGATACTTTAGGGTTAGAGGCTTCAATTAAAAGTGATAAGTTGTACAATTTATCAGAAGAGCGATTCAAGGCCCTTGGGCCTCTTGTTTATTCTGTAATATATTTTTTATGTTTATTTGTATGAAAATCATATTCCTATCAACATAATTAATATTCATTGATTGTTCGACTATCATTTAGAAATTTCTCTATCTATTCAGTTATTTATGCCTTCTGGACAAAACTATGGAAATAAATACATTATTTACTTACTTGAAGATGATTCCATGGGACCCAGGTCTTTGTTCGAGAGATACAAAACTTCGAGAAATAGAAGTACCAGAGAGCAGCAGTAAATTTGCTTAGTTATATAGAGGAAAAAAAACAGGACCAGAGGTTCACTTCGAGAAATCGGGGTTTGAGCCATCGAGAGTCACCAGTATGTACAATATAACATGACCTCTGTTTTCCCTATTGATGTACAAAATAAGTAGCCTCTGGTTTCCATATTGATGTAAAAATCAAGTGTCCTCTTTTCTCCTTAATTTTGCACAATGTAAGCTTTTTGTTTACTGTGTAGCACTTTTTCCTTGGCCTTCACAATTAAGCAGTTGGGTTTATAGATGCCAGAGGCACAACTGTGTGACTGTACCTGTGTTTGAAAAAAAAATCTAGCACATGAATGTCATTGTATGCCTATTGGAAGTAAAGTTGATTTGAATCCTACATGTAACGAACTCGAATGGAGAATATATATTATTTTCTCAATTCGAGCAACAACTAGTGTGTACCATGAACCATACACAATTTCTCTGTTACGGACTTCTGAAAATATTCTCTTTCAAATTATTTTGAAACTATTCATAATTATCGTAAATATAGGAGAAATTATAGTTTTGGTCACTACCAATAGTAATAGCTACTTCCCATTTGCATGGAAAGTTGTCTGGTCCTTTTTTTCAAATGTGTCCTATTGTGAAAAATTTGCGAGAACGATGGTTTCATAAAGTTATGTTTTTAAAGTAAATTAGATTATAATAAAACTGCTTCAAACGAAATATTAATTTACTGGATTGCTTTTGGGTGTTTTTTAAATACCAGTATCTCATACATTGTGTTTATAGGGATTTCCCTAACAATGTAGTTGGCTTTGCATGTGTATCTCTTTTACAACAGCTTTACTAGTATTTTGGAATGAACGAGTCATTTCTACTGCTGAGTCCGACTCTCAGATCAATCCTAGAACCAGCCCTCAGTAGCCTGTTCTTTGTGTTATCTCCTGCTGAGGGAGAATTCTTAAATAATTTAATTTTGTTTGTGTTCTAGTCTCTCATTGGTTGATTACCAAAAAGGAACGCAAATTATTTCTTAATAACCTGGTTCGGTATGGGGAAACATCCCCTTGACAACCAGCTGAATCATCTGTATCCAAACAATCCCATCATTTCCTGTCCTTGTAATTCATGAGAAATTCCAGATTTAATAAACGTACCTTTAACTTCAAACAGTAGCTCGATTTAACCTTGTGTACACAAACATCATTGCTGCTAGATCTGTATATCAGTTATTACCTCCTCTTGTTTCATATCACTTCCGTTACTAGGGATGTATTATAGAGCGGCAAATTTGAACTCATAAAAAACAACACAATTTTACACTAACAGTTGTTTAATTATTTTAAAATTAAATTATAAGGAATGACTCTAATTCTTGGCCAAATTACTCGATGATTACCTGGTTTGGGACAGTTTACGCTTTATAATCCGCTTCAGTTTACGCTTTTTTATAATCCGCGTAAAGCGTAAACTGACCCAAACCAGGTTATAATCGAATAATTTGGCCAAGAATTAGAGTCATTCCTTAAATATTGTAGATTAAGATAAGTGTGTGATGTCTGAAATATTTACATTTACTTTTTTGGTCGACATACATGGGGTTCTTATCTTCATTTAAAATAAATTAACATGATGTCAAATTTATCAATTTCAACATACTAGTTGCTAATATTACAGTACTGTACTGTTCAGATTCTTGTAGGTATATCTTTCATAATGACAAACAGTACTTTATGTTTCACGCACACAGTCTATTCTCTAGATACAGTTATTTGTGGCATGTTGAAGATGGATGGCATCAAGATTAGGTCCTTTGTTTTATTTTCTTTACCTGGCATTGTATTACATGTACCATAGCACAAGGAGATATAACAAGACTGTTCGCATAACTTATCTAGCAAAAGAAAGACTGTCACAGGAATTCGTTATGTACGACACTGTTGATAGGGAAAGGTACAATGAAGCTGTAGGTAATTTGTCTTTGTCTAGAAGGATGGGAAAAGCCTGTGTGGATGATGTGAATTTATTTAATAATAACCCCTGTATTGAATTATGTTTAGAACAGAATGTGAGTCAACAAAATGGATTTGGACTCTTAAGAATATGTCCATTTGTATTGTTAGAAATGTTGTCAGTGTTATCTCACTATAGACTAGGTAATAGATTTCAGTGTCTACAGTTGATACGAGAACTACAGACATTGTTACTCTGCCATGATGAGAGATATATTTCTTCAGATAGCAGCGACTTATCCTGGCAGATACTTGGAATCTGTCAGCAGGTTGTGGGAGATTTACACGGTGCTTTACAATCTTATAAAGAGTCTCTTAGAAAAGAACTAATCAGCAATGTAAAAGAAGCTACATGTTTTAGAATAGAATGTATTAAACAACAATTACATAGAAATGAATACATGTAAGAATATGTTTCAGTGATTAGATAATTATAAACCAGGCTGCAGTACTTATTCGTTAAATTAAATCAATGGAGCACACAGTGTAATCTATGGAATATAATTTTTTCTTTCTTTATAATTAAGGAATGTTTTTCAGTTTTGTGTGTGTTATTGGTGTATGAATCACACAGACTTGTCACGTAGGCATATTTCATGAAGCGCGCTATATCGTTGCATTTGTACTAACGTCGCTGCAGCCTCATTGTGACGTCACGTTAACGCACGTTTCTCCGTGTATATTTCTACACTTGAGTATACCTTCCTTGAGTATACACGAAAATGGTTTTCAAATCAATTTCACAGTTGGTTTACAAGAAAAACACAGCGAATGTAAATATTTAAAAATCCATGACGTTTAAATCTCTATAACACACGCGAAACCTTGTCACCGCGCGTTAGAATACCCTGAAGGAATTATATGCATTTTCAATACTCTAGAACACCAAAATGTATGTTGTTTTGACTCAATTTAAATTGAAAAACTATAACCCTACACTGTTAAATAACTGTAAATTAAATGCAACAAATGTGCGTTTTAAATTAGCTTGTCTTTTTTCCCCTTTCAATGTTTGTTTGCGTTATTTATCTTTGCAAAGCCATAAACAGCTCTTACGTCTATTAGACATACCAGTTTTGAATAGCGCTTAATTCACAATAAAGATTGACGAAATAAGGAATTATGTAGAGGAGAAATTAGATAATCTAAATAAAAGCAATGAAAACGCGCTATATTCAATTTGACGGCACGGCCAGATGTGTTTAAGGACCGACTACATCCGAAAATATGAATTCAATGATTAAATTAATGTTGTTAAAAATAGTAATTTTGTGCTTTATGTGTTGAAGATCAATATGTCCTCATGTAATATTGTTAGCAGGAATATAATGTGTACTAGTATAACATCAGTATGTGTGAAAAGATAGATGCCAACGTAAATCTTTGAATTGCCAAATACGTAACGTCATACGTAGATACATGACGTTTTGACATTTGTGACGTTATTTTAAAAAAAACGCGATTACGTTTTATTCATAACGTAAATCGCACCTGTCTTTTTTAATACAATCTTCCGGAAAAATATCAAGCATCATAATAGTTTAGGTTTTGGTCATTAAAATTTGCGCATCTGAGCTCCATATTTTATTAGATTTTTATTTTATTTATTTATTTTATGTTTATTTATTTTTTTTTTGTATAATTTTTATTATAATATTGTTGAGCAACGAAAAATAGAGATCGGGGCCTGCTTATGAACAGTTTTTACTAACGACGAAAACCCAAACTCTTTAGTGATTATAAATTTTTGCAAAATAAATGATTTTGTTTAAAAATGCCATTGTAAAATATATTATTCCATTCCTTTCAAAAACGATTTTCAATATAAACAAATTTAATAAGTTATAAACAGAATTAAATTTTGGTCTTAGTCGTAAGTTCTAGTGCAAAGCGAGCCCCAAGTATGGCTTTTCATTTAAGAAATGAATGTAATATTTTTTTCCTTTGATCGATGTATCAAAGAAAAATTTGGACGGAAAACTTCATCAATGCGCTACGCGCATTGATGAAAAAGTTTTCTGTCCAAATTTTTCTTTAATACATCGATCAAAGGAAAAAATATTACATTCATTTGTTATCATTTAATTATGATTTTGAATAAATAAAACGAAACTTTCTTTCAGCTTTCTATTAAATTTACGCATCAAAAACAGTGCGCACGAATACATTACAACAACGTTAACGTTGCTGAAATTCAAAATGGCTCAAACGAGGAAACGTTCTCAAATGTTGTCTTGGCATTACCAACATTCTCTGAAATAATTTACAGTTCTTTAACACAAAAAAACTTACCTTTGTGTTATCCCAATCGGTATATTTTCCCTGGTAAGTTATCTAAGTTCGTAAATGTAAAGGGAAGCTACTCAAATATCCTAACAGTTGGTCACAGAAATTTTGGATTTCTATTTGCACATCTTTTCATCTGAATATATCATAAATACACATGTTACTGTACGTATCACAACCTGTCAATGCTGTAAAACTGAAAGAGTCTGCCGTCGACTGTGTTAGATTAAACGAATATGTCCTCATTCATGCAGTGTCGTTTTTCACGATCATCCGTTTCCCAAAATTTAACAGATTAATGGTTTTCCTCTCTTTGGTAGCATAAAAAACGTTTCTTCAGAATTCTATTGTTCATACCAGACATCTCAAAGCCAAACATTTTACAAAATTATGTCGATTTCTCTCTTTCTTTCCCAAAACTGTACTGTTGTTATGCAGACGATTTGATTTGTTTAGCAAAGGGCGATAATTCAACAAGAAACGAAAGTAGAAAATAAGTCAGGAACATAACGGACAGATTTCGAAATTCAGGAAAATATTTATTGAAGTAAAATTATTTTATTATTCCTTCAAGAAGTAAGTAACCTGGAAGCGGGAAATATACATGTAGAGACTGCCAAGTAGTTCCGGCTGCTTAGTGCAAGCGAACTCTAGATTTTATTGATGCAGGTATCAAAAGAATTTTTCAACCAATCAGAATCAAGTATTTCATAGAAATTAAATGATATGTTGATACCCTGGATATATTCGTCACATTGTGGTGACGGCCGGGGATTTACTTTAGATTATCCTGAAGCACGGTGATGGACATCAAATAAAATTAAGTGTCGGGAAATAATAAAAAAAAAGTTTGTAATGATACATTGTAGAATTGACAAGTACTTTTATGTTTTACTCAGATTGCTAAAATCAAACATTGGTAAAAAATAAAAACATAATTAAGTGCCGCAAGTCCAAACTATTCTTCTTCTTCTGGACAAACATGCCTGTCCGAACAGGCAAAGTGTAGGCCTCTGCGGCAACTTCTACATTGCGATCTTGATCGTCGTCGTTGCCCTGTTGAGCGATCGGAACACACGATGCAATCCTTTTCTTTGTTACCTGCAGTATAAAAGAGTGTTAATAATTCGCTTCCCTTACAGCAAGCTATAACTTATCATATATCTTCAAAAATGGATTTAGGTCTCAAGATTAAAGACAGTCTGATTTAAATATTATTTATTTAGATTAAAGGTTTATCAATTTTATTCAATCAAAGGTCAACAAACCATTCACAGAATTTCATACCCATATACGTACTTGTGTTTATTAATAGTTTTTACTTGTTTTTATGTATATAATGTGGACAAAATAAACGACAAGGATGCAAATTTGAATTATGTTACAGACCTTCAGAGACCGTAGCCTATGTTTAATTAGGCTGAGGGGTGTCAACAAATTAACCATAAGATATAACTTAACCCCTTTCCCTACAGTCAGGCATTTTTACTCATATACCATTTCCTATTTCTAACGCAAAATCACGCATATACCGTTTCCCCGCAATCACGCATTTTCACGCACTTCAAAATGTTCATTTAATCTTTAATTTAATGCCAATTTCCTTCTATTTTATACTTGCAAAAATCTCAAAAAATAAGAAAAGTTATTTATGTATTAAAATATAACTGCAGAATATTATTTACGCTAAACTTTAGAGAAACGTGTACCACGCTAAAACGTGTTTGCGGGGAAATGGAAAATTTCTATTTCTATGACGTGAACATTCAGTGTATGTTGCATAACAGTTCACTAAGTTGTAAAGAGTTAAAATAATACAAAGTTTATTTACCTTGAATAGGTTGTATCCCAATATTCCTATTCCTAATCACCCCTCTAACAGGCTTTCCTCTATTAGCATGATGTTCTCTACTGATCTCCTCTATAACCTCCTGTACAAATCTCAATCTGGGTTTTATTGGCATGTCTGACGTATTTTTTTTATACAAAATATATGCATTACTGCACATTCTGTGTATGATATTAAACGCAAGTTTCTTCCGAACTTTAGTTGACTTTCGATTATCATTGTAAAAATGCAATAACATGTCAGCTCCATCAACTCCCCCCATGTTCATATTGTAATGATGTACTATTTTTGGCTTTCCGTTGGAGTTTTCGGCATTCATGAATGTACTTAACATTCTTACAGGCTTTTTCCCTCCCTTCCTTTGTAAGCCGCGGCCAAAATGTCACCCTGTCTGACATAAACACTTTCATTTGGTCCCACATATGCGTTTTTGATTGAAAGGGGCATTTTTCTGTTGGATCGTAGTGTCCCTGTCAAATATGTACCCATGTCAATCAACCTTCTTGCCAAATCAAAACTACAAAAAAGCTGTCGCAAACAACATGGTAACCTTTCCGGAGTAAATTACAATTTTTTAAAAGTTGTAATACTACCTCTGTTCCTTGCAACATATTTGAAGTTGGTGTAAAGGTTTTACCCAAGTAGCATTTTAAGTGAGCAACATATCCAGTAGCGCTTTCAGCCAATACCCAGAACTTAACACCAAACTTTGCAGCTTTAGAGGGTATGTATTGCAGCATTGAGGTTCGACCTCTAGTGCCAATTAATGACTCATCAACACAAATATTCCTGTCCGGCGTGTAGAAATAATTGGCGACACGGCTGAAGTGGTCGATGAGTGGTCGAATTTTGCCATCAGGTCTGTAAAGTAATATTTATTCATGAGGCCACACCAATTGAATTTCATGTTCGTCGGACATTTAATGAAAAAAGTAAGAGCGGGTAATTAGCGGTTAAATTTTAACAGTACATGTATTACTTTTAATGAGCAAACTTTTAAGGCAGAGCATGAAAAAAATGAGCAGACAATTATATTTTTTTTAATTTGCAGAGTAAGCAGATTAAAAATACGATAAATGTGGCGGAAATGAAACATGAAATAGTACTGAATTCCCATGGTGCGGGAAATTTAAACTAATATTATTATGATATCACCAACTTTTCAAATGTTATAGATAAATATGTAAAATAGCTTATTAATTGTTTTTATATATCATTATAAGATATTTGTATGTTATTGACAATAAATATATATAAAAAAATTATATTTTGTACAGTTTTGAAAAAATACGAGCGCGTGGGTCCGAAAAACATTAAAATTTTATTTGTGTGGCCTTATGATTTGTTTTTTGTTATCAGTATTGCATTTAAAGACATACGCAACCTAAGTTGCACTTTGTTGACTTTATTCCTAGATTTAAAGAGTTTCAATATTTAAAGGACTCGTTCATCTAGTTTTGAATCATTTTATTAAACAAATTATACGTAATAAGAAAATTTTGGTTCGTAGGGTGAAATGCAAAATTCACCTGTAATTTGGACTGTTTCGCTTTGGGATTTTCCTGTTGTCAACAATGTGAAAAAATTTCAGAATAAGCTGGAACCGGTTTCTAGGGAACATTTTCATGAACCATCGACTCAACTGGCTATCATGCCTCTTGTTCCAATATTCCGCAATGGTTGGTTTCCTGATTAAACCCATATTCAGTATCACAGCAATGAACCTTTTCATTTCACTTATGGTCACAGGAACCCGATTCCTTGCTCGTGAAAATCGAGACAGTAAAGAATTTCTAATCTGATTTCGAGCATACCTAAATTGTGTATAAATTGTACATACGGTATATTTTTTATACATACAAGAGAAAATTTCTGAAATAATTATTAAATATTGATTTAAAAAATTATACTTTCATGAATCATTTATGTTGTCGTTAAAAGCAGATCGAAAGAAGGTCATAAAGGAAGGGAAAATGCGTTAGGATTTTTTAAAAACATACAATATGTACTAGTACTTGTTATCATAGTTATGAATATCAAACTACATGAAGCATAAAAGAGCTAAGATTTTTTTCATGTGAAAATTATTGATTTAAATGTGATAGTCATAAGATATCCTTGCACTTTTTATACTAAATTTGATATGCTAATTAAGTAGAAATTTTGTGTCGTATCATTAAAAATATATATATATATATACACCAGTGCAATCAAGAAAAGTCAGATTAGAATTAAAGAAAGCAAAACCAAAACACTAGTTTGTTTATTAATTTTTTTTTTTGGGGGGGGGGAGGGGTAAGTGCAGTACCAGCAAATCGAACGCAAGTGCGTTTGGTGGAGTACTGGTATCTGGAAGCGGAGAAATTACTGTGTTTTTCGTACTTTAAGATATTAAAATCAATCGCTGTAAAAGGTTCATTTAGCTTAATTTCCCCAATAAATAAATTACACTTCAATCCCGAATATACGGATGTGGAGTGTATACATGTATATACACGGTGAATGTTGACCAACTTTATGAAAGACACTAAAACCGGAGTTATTTCTTTTTAAATAGGGACATTTTTTATTGTAAATATTCCAAGTGTACATGACTATGTTTTCTTAAAATCATGAAAATTGTGTCCCACAAAGTGCACAAGACTTTGAAAAGCAAACTTTGAACGTTTATTAACAATATAGGTAGAAAAAATATATACATCGACAATTTTTTTTTCAATTCTTACAGGATAAATAACCGGAGAATATTTTCACATCCCAATATACCTATCCGTTTTGAAATATTTTTTTTTTAAAAAGCGCTTAATTAACAAGTAAAACTAAATTTTTTATTTAAAAGGTTACATAATTATATATATATTTATATATAAAAATACAATTACCTGTTTGTTTGTCGAACAATTTCTCTTATAAGATTCAAGTTGAAGAACAACAGGAAATATTGCAAGGGACTTGCATTTCGAGGTGGCATATTCTTTGGGCCTGGATTGCCGGTAAAAGGTTTCTTTGGCACCGGTTCAGGCGGCATAACTCTGAACCAAACACCAGCCATCGTTCTCAGCGTCTGGTATAACACGTACGTGCTATTGTGACGTCATGTACGTAAAAATGACGTTATTTGTAGAACACCTTATTTTTGAGGCAAAAAATAAATTGTAGGCATAAAGACCAACTAAATTTAAACGGGGTAAAAATAATTTTGGGGAAAGAAATTGTGTATTTAATGAACATATTAAGTGCACAGATTATAGTGTATTGATGTGTTTATTTTCAAACGTACACAGAATATTATGGGGAAAATCAATAAATATCATAATCATTTACAAGTGTCATTAACTTAATTTTATTCATTTTTTTTTTCATTTACCAGTTTTCTGCGATTAAATTAAAAAGTAATACATCACGAAGATACTAATGTGCAACGATAATTCACATTAAATAGTTGAAATGCGTATCCACAAACCGAATAAAAAAATCGGCCCAAAATCGGCCCCGTGGCACTCTACGCAACTGTGTGATCGGCCCAAAATCGGCCATGTGGCACAGAAGTGGTTAATAAACTTTTCGTCAAGAGGTTGCACTTTCCCTCATACCGTTCTTACATTTCACGGCTGATTGTGAGTAATTCTGAACACTGATTTGATAGCATAGCTACAAAGATTCTGACCAGTTTTCGTAATTCTCGGTCAGGCGATCAAAAGAAAATTGCATATTATGTTAAGCTGGGTTTCTTTTTCCTTTTAGTACACTGTACCATAATTAACTGCATATCCATGTTTTGTCTTTTTTGGTATACGTATGAAAAAATATTGTTTTTGAAACGAGGCAAGCTTTTGACAAAAACGTAAATGAGTCAAGAATATCAACAGTCTCATTTCAAGTTGTTTAAAGTCCAAATGTAAAGATATTTATACTCGTATGTGAAGGTGATATCACGTTCAACACATGACGTTGCAATAAAATACAGTACCTGGCCGTCAGTGAGTCATAATTCTATTTTCCACGATATATTTCATTGAAAAATGCATTTTCCTAAAATACTATTGCAGTGTTATTTTTTGCTCATTTTTTATGACTAAAACACTATAAAATGCAGAATTCTTTGTAGTTTCTTCATATTATTTCTAAATAATTTATCTTTAGGCATTGCAGTGAAATCACAGGTCAAGCGCAAAATAGAATTTTTTCAAGACTTCAATTTGTTAAGAAATCTTAGTAATTTAAGTTTAGAAATTTTTGTCTTGACAGTTTTATAATTTATTCACAATGATTTGAGTCTCATTTTGTTATTCATTTTAAGACAAGAAAATTTGCATAATTCTGCATGATTCAGTGAAAATTGAGCTAAAATTGGTTTTACAACAAGTTTTTATAAAAATGGATTTTTCAATTAAATATATAGCGTAAAACTGCAATTATGACTCACTTATGGCCACATACTGTAAATTAACACCATAAACGCAACATTCTGGCAATATGAAAGCAAACAGAGAAATTATTTTCCAAATTAACTGGCGACTAGACAGATTGATTTTTGATATCTCAATGGTTTTAACCTCACCTTATATTGGCATTTTGAAATTCTTGACTAATTCGTCTACGTTTTTTTTAAAAAGTTATTTAATCCTTTTCAAAGAAACTATTTCCCAAAAACTGGCTTTAGAACCGTTTACGGTTTTTTCTTTCTATATAAAGTGTAAAAATAGTACTACAAACTATACTGCGTTTACAGTATTGTAGCTTTAAAACTACGCAGACGCATTTTATTTTTTTAAAAATCAGATAATATGCCATCAATTCTTAAGAACATTATATCAAAATTCAGGACATGTTCTCTCGTGAAAATTGTTAACGAATAAATCCACAACCTACCATAAGTTTTTTCCTTAATTATACAACTTGACAGACTAGTGACGCATTTGTTTCGTTTTTTTTTTTTTAGATTTCAGAAATTGTTTCTGTGGTGGTAATTTGAGCCTAAACAAAAAGACAAACCTCTATTAGTGACAAAGCTTAAACTTTTATAATATCTATCTGTGAAACAAACTTACATTCATTATGGACTTAATGGAATGTGAGAGTCCTGATGAAGATCATATTCCATATGATCTCGATGAGGGGAAAGAGTGTTTTTTTTACTTCGGCCGCTAAAGAAATTATAGGTGGAGAATTTCACGAAGGGAGACAAGATTACGGACATGACAGGAGACAAGCAATGTATAATGCATGGGTCAAGAAAAGGACATGTAGATACCAGATACCAGATTCCACTGAAATGTCTATGGATAGCTCAAAAATAATCTTGCCTTCAAGGCCGGCAAAATCTTATTTTACTAGTGATTTATCAAAGATCACTGTTAAAACGGAAAACAAATACCAGTTACCATTTAGTTCTGATTTTGGACAAATTTTATTTTTACATCAAGACAACCAGGGAGAAAAAAGCATAAAAGATGAAAAATCCTTGAAAGACCAATGCAGCGAAAAATCGAATCTTAAAAACACCAAATCAAAAGCTATTGTGTTTCATACATTTCATCATACGAAAAAGTATGGCATTGAGCAAAAATA